AACAGGGTGAACCCGATGAAAATGGTGCTTAAAACTTTTGACGCCCGCTTCAAAAGGGCCACCAAAATGACTTGCATACGGTGGCTGAAAATGCCATGCTATTCCTCTACAGAGTCTTGTTCTGGAGCGCGCCTTGTACAGTGTCATTCCGAAGGAAGACATACAAGTCCTTTAGGTATCTGTCACAGCCGATGAAATTCTTACCGCAGTCGGAGTAAATATCCTTGCATAGACCTCGGCGTGATGTGAAGCGTCGTAATGCCGCTAAGAAACCCTCTGTTGTAAGTTCTGAAACTATTTCGAGGTGTATGTCCTTGATCCACATGCATACAAATATACACACGTAACATTTCACTATTTTTGCATTTTTTACTTTGTTAGCTCGGACGTAAAAAGGACCAGCGAAATCTACGGCAGTTTTAAGGACAAACAATGGACGCAGCGATGAATACATTGCCGTTTGACGTCACGACCGGATAAGATCTAATATTTTTGTAGAAGTATGTATTGGGTGTCAGTATGTATTGGGGAGAACTTATTATTATTATTATTTTCCATCTCCGAAAAAGGTACGTTATGGTGCCGCTCACCATGAGAACGTGTGGGCAGCGAGTAATGCTAGCGAATTACTGTGCCACTTGTGAAGAGTGAAGCCGGCAGCCTGACATATGCTTATTAACTCCTGTTGTAGAGCAAGAGCTTCTGCCTCCGTATTATCACCTGACACTATGTCATCCACGAATATGTCATTTTTTATAACTTGCGAAGCACGTGGAAAGCGCGGGGCTTCATCAAGCGCAAGCTGTCGCATTGTACGAAGTGCGAGGTAAGGCGAGGAACTAACTCCGAAAGTTACAGTACGAAGACGATAATCGCGTATAGGTTCGTCAGGAGTAGTACGCCATACGATACGCTGAAAATCCCTATCTGTGTCACGGACTAAAATGTTGCGGTACTTCTGTTTAATGTCAGCTGTGAAAGCAATAGAATGAATTATAAACTTCAAAAGGACGTCGATTATATCCAGATGAAGTTTGGGTCCTGTAAATAAAACGTCGTTCAGGGAGCTCCCGTTGGTAATCTTACAACCTGCATCGTAGACCACTCGCATCTTTGTTGTTTCACTAGACTCCTTCACCACGCAGTGGTGCGGAATATAATACGAGACACCAGATTTTGTTGAAGGACCATCACAAGGTTCCATGGGATTAAGATCCAAGTACTCCTGTAGGCATACATGCTAGCTATATTTCAGTGGTGGATTGCGTTAAAGCTTATATTCTAATCTCTGAAATCTGGCGATAGCAATATCACGCGACTCACCATGGGGTAAGGCGTCAGGCTTTAAAGGCAGAGCGACTACATATCTTCCTGAATCATTACGTATATGCGTGTTTTCAAAAATTGTTTCGCATAAAACTTCATCGGGTGTGAGAGACCTTTTTTCTGTAATTGATTCTATTTCCCAAAACCGCTGGAGATCAAATTCATCGTTAACAGAGCTATGTAACACTTGAACAGAGACCGAAACAGGGGACTGAATACTAAAATCTAGCTTGCCTAACAGCAAATATCCTAAAATACTATTTATTACTATGGGTGTACCTGTGGCCCCGATCACCGTGTTATGTAGTAGAATTTGGAGAAGTATGTCCACTCCAAGCAACATTTCTACTGGTTGAGGTGTGAAGAAATCGTGATCAGCCAATATTAGATTTTAAATCCTGACCATTCCTTATAAGGTAATTGACAAGAAGGCATTTGTGTAGTATTAAGCTTTGGTAAGATTAAGGTATCGATTAGTACCGAAGGTTGTGTTTTATTTTTTGGTGTTTATTAGCACGAAACTAAGTCTATTGGATAGATCGGTTTGTTTTCATTAATACCGTAAACAGGAGGAATATTGACATGTTTTCTCGTTAAAGTGAAGTCTCTTTTATTAGTGAAGTATGAATGCTTCACTAATAAAAGAGACCTGGCTTCCCGAATCTATGAGACAACGCACGGTCCATCGCTTATTACTATTTACGTAAACATCGATGAGCGCTCTTGACAGTAGCACTGTACTCGTTCGTAGCGACGGAGCAGAACTAGATTGCGCGATAGCGTCACGTGTATTGTGATTTACCGACGTCATAACCAGCTGAGAATCGTTCGACGTTTCATATCGTATTAAATTTGAGTGCAGATGGCAGTTTCTACACGGGACGGATCTTATTAGCGTTAAAAGAGTAAGGGAATCAAAGATTTAAAACAGTTTAAAAATTCTATGAAAATACGATTGTAAGAAAATGAATTACATGAAACTTAGTTATTTAACGGTGAAAATTTTCCACGAAAACTATTGGAAAGTACGGGGGGGGAGGGGGCAATTAATTACATTACATAATAAGAAAATTTAAATAGAAAAGACCAATTTCAATCAAAATATGGATGAATTATTTCTGAATTTACGGCTCGGTTTAGGTAAGTAGCGATTTTTCGAGTTCCGTGTGTTTCATCTATCAAATTTGAGTTTATATGGCAGTTTCAATACGATACGGAACTTATAAGCCTAAAAGGAGCGGAGAAATCGAAGATTTTAAAAAGTTTAAAAATTCGATGAAAATACGATTATAAGAAAACGAATTATATGAAATTAGTTTTTTAACGGTGAAAATTTACTACGAAAACTATTGTAAAGTACGGGGGGGGGGGGGGGGGGCAATTAATTACACTACATAGTAAGAAAATTTAAACAGAAAAGACCAATTTTCAATCAAAATATGAATGAATTTGTGTTTTTATTTCTGAATTTACGCCTCGGTTTAGGTAAGTAGCGATTTTTCGGGTTCAGTGTATTTTATCTATCAAATTTGAAAGTAGATGGAAGTTTCTACACGATACGGACCTTAAAAGCGCCTAAAGGGAGCGGAGAAATCGAAGACTTTAAAAATTTTAAAAATTCCATGAAAATACGAAAAAAAACTATTAAAGAAGAAATTATTATTTTTTAATAAACATTGATTAAATTCCATGAAGAGATATAAATCTATATAACCATCCGTTACTTGCGACAAACGAGCCGCCGTCACCTAATTTTTTATTTAACTGTAATGCTTTTTCACAAAGCAAAGGGCCGACTATCATTTGCCCAGTTGATCGTTTTTGTAAAAACCAACAATACAAAGCGTCTTCTAATTGCCAATTTACTCGCGGACATAGGTCCTTATGTCCGGGACGGGGGTTTATTAGCGCCTGATAGTAGATCGTCTTATCTCAAGCGGTGTGAAGCGACGATTAGTGAGGTGCGGGAGGGGGAGGCTAGCTGCATTTGTGCGCGCGGTCGGTCACCCCTAAAGTTGGGCGTTATAACATACAACAGATAATATATTTCATTATATATTTTTAATCTTACAACACATTAGAATAATGAACCATTGACTGTTATAATATTATATTCATTATCGTTAGAAAGCGTCATCTGTTTACGTTTACGGTCCAACCGTCGCGTCGGCCGAGACAATGGGAGTCAATAAAATACTACCTACATTCATTGTGCCACAAGGATTGCGTATAGCTTACACTAATTTAAACTCTAACCTAACTTAATAAGAGCTTATTTTACTAACACAAACGCAAAGCCGGGTTGTTCATATATTGAAAGTCTCCTTGTTTTGTCTTAGACTTATGTTAATAGAGCGTGCCATTTGAACTTAAAGACAATTAATTGGACAATAAATAATAAGTGACAAATCTTGCCGTGGAGCGTGGAACTGAGTAGTTGCGCGTCTTGTTAATATAATTGCCGTACGGCCGCCCTGACGTATGTACTGCGCGAACCTGAGTTTTTTGCGCCGCGGTCCGGTGATACAGTATTTTTCACAAATAGTAAGTTCGTTATAACGCGGGTTCAGTTAAATCTGGTTGAATTTGATTGGATTAACCTAAGTAACTTGAATTAATATCAAAGAAAAAGAAATACTGCATAAATAAAATAAATAAATAATTATAATTGCATAAGTTGATACAAAATGCTATGCAATAGCTTTACCGCGGCAGTCCCCGAGTGCCACACGTCTTTTTGGTTTTTAATAAACACATAACTTTATGTATGTACATATGTACTACAAATGCACAAAACCCGCTTTTCTTCATACATTCGATCATCCGGATTTTCGATTATCCGAATGCCTAACGGCAACAATTAGTCCGGTTAATCGAGTATATATATATACATATTGAGAATCTAAATTGAGAATTTAAACTATACGCGTGTGTGTATTTGTGTGTATATAAAGAGGGCTACTTTTAATATCGCTCATTTTAATATCAAAAATTTAGGTTATCTTTATAGCAGTATTATATTTTCAATTCAAAATTAGTACTGCATTTGTGATAATAATAAAATGTAGGTATGTATATAGAGTACTCACTCATTTTCTTTCACTATTTTTTTCGTGACTTTCTTCATTAATAATAAATGCACTTTGTTCATTCATATTCAAAATTTCAAAACACTTTATACACAAACACCGTGTCGAAGACTGAGAAAAAGAAACGACGTTAGACCATCGTTAGACAATGCACGGCCTTCAAGCCACAACTCCGTGCCCGTCGGAGAGCGTGAGGTTTTTTTCGTTACGAAATTTCTGGATTTTCCCGCACTCAAGGCCCGCGATAGAAGCTATGCAATAGCTTAAAAATCTATAAAAAAATCTATAAAAAACGTAATGGCAACTAAACGAAAAATAACCGCATTACGTTGTGCTAAATGCCTAAATGAAAAGAATTTTTAAACTGCTCTATATGTTATATTTACTATGACATTGAGTGCACGAATGTTTCATCAAAGCGATATTACTTAATGACAACCGAAAGCAAAGAGAAGTGGAAATGTACTTTGTGCATTGAGAATAAGGGTAGTAAACGGAAAGGTAATTTAAGTGACACATCGTCAACTGAAGTTCCGATGATAAAAAACTCGATCAAAAACACACCTTTAAAACAATAATACGAGTATGGGGGAATCAAGTAAAGTAAACGTAACTGTTAGAAATAAACTTGAGAAAAGAAATTCATCTTTAAGAAATATATCGTATTCCGATTCGGATAGTAGTAATATAAACTTAATGCCGGAAACATCTCCAAGAAGTTTACCTGATACTACCCTACTAGAAAATTCACAAATTATTGATTTTAAAAATGAAATTGATCAATTAACTCTGCAACTGACCAGTGCACATAATAAAATTATGGAGTTAAACTTAGAAAATACAAATTTAAGAAAAACCCTAGAACAGTACCAGAAAAAAGAACGTGTTTACAAGAAACTACTCGACAGTCCACTCAAACACGGCGCTATTCCTAAATCCTGCAAAAAAAAAAAGCCTAAGGAAGACATCTCTAGTATTAACCAAAATTCAATATTTAAAACAGTTCTTTCTGAACATCCCAGTTCTGATCTTACTGTCCAAGAGAAGCATGAATGTTCATTAAAATCAAAAGAAAAAACTATAACTATCAAAACTAAAGTCAAAGACAAAAATCAAATTCTTATTGTTGGTGACCAGCAAGCTTTAGGAATGGCTTCAGCTTTAATGAAAATTCGGTCAAGTTATAAAAATCCCCGTCAATATAACATATCAGCATTTACATATCCTGACACTCCTACAGATGTTATTTTAAAAAAAACCACTACAAAATGAAGTTTAAATGGGTGCAGATGATTGGATAATTATTTCAGTAAGCGCTAATTATGTTAATCCCTATAAAACATTTGCTGAACTATATTCTTTTCTAAAGTATCATAGATAACAGAAGATATTGATCACGAATGTAATTCTCAATACATATCTAAATGAACTTAAATTCAATCCTTTGTTAAATTCACTTAGTTTATATTATTCAAATTGCTCATTTATTGATATCCCTTATAAGGCACGTAATATGTTTAGCACAAAGTCTAAATTTAGAATGTTTAATGAAATCAATAAAAAAGTAGATTCAATAGACTATACAAAATATTTTATACATAATAGAAATATATAACAGACAATTGTAAAAATAAAAATGCTTATACGCCAGGGACCATTCTATTCTACTTTACCAAAATGAATCGCAACGTCAATATGAATAAAATAACGAAATCTGCTGAAAATAATAGTGTTATTAACAGTGTCTCAAATTATAAGAAAGGAACAATTCCGTTCTATTTTAAAGCAATCAATAAAAAAATTGGTAATAACGTAACTACTAACAACCAGTTTTTTCACTAATGAGAACGTTCTGAATATTTTCCATATTAATATACAAAGTTTGAAATCTAAATTAAGCAATATTGAAATTCTGACGAAAGAAAGAACATTAGATATACTTTGTTTTACGGAAACGTTTAAGAGAAGAAGAAAAGAACTTTTACAAGTTACATGGGGTATAAAATGATGGCTATTTATGCAAGAAAATCGAAATCTTGAGGAGGTGTTTGCATTTACACAAGGAGTAACATACTCGTAGATTCCAAAAATATAGATTACTTAAATCAACTGTCAATTGATAATCATTTTGAAAGTTGTGGTATAATTATTAGTGAATTAAATCTGATTGTTGTATGTATATATAGAACCCCTAACAGCGATTTTAACATATTTATCGAAAAACTTAAAATTTTACTTGCTAAACTAATGGTACGTCTACGTAACAATAAGAATAAATTAACATTATTAAGAGATTTTAATATAGACACGTTAGATAATAGCAAAAGAAGAAGTATCTTTATTACAACACTAAGGAAATACAATCTACATCTTTCTATACAAGAACCAACTTGAATTACGGCTTATTCTGCAACTTGTATAGATAACATAATAACAAATGCTAATAAGTATGAATCTCAAGTACTTAATTGGGATTATCAGACCATACTGCGCAATTAATTAGTATTGCGTGTAGATATAACTTTGGAAAACAACACTGGTTCATTTATAAGAGAAATATAGATTCCAATCTACCGATATTTCTAAATTACTTATCCCAAATTGCATTCAGAGAAGTTTATGAGGAAAAGTATGTAAACTTGGCATATGAATTATTCTTTAATATATTTAACTTGATCTTTACCCTAAGTTTTCCCCTTAAGAGGATTAAAATTACACAAAAAAAATAAACTTAATTGGCTTACGAAAGGAATAAAAATATCCTGTAGAAACAAAAGGAAATTATATCTAAAAACGTTTAAAAATAAATATTTTGATAAGATAAGTAGATATAGGGAATATTGTAGAATAATGAAAGCGGTAATAGTTGAATCGAAAAGAAGGTCTAATATAAAATATATACAATTTAGTGTTAATAAAACAAAGGCTACATGGAACTTGATAAAAAATAACACCATTTCAATAGAAAACACCATAAAAATAAAAAAATTACGGGTTGGTAGTCTGTGAGCCAAATGAAATAGTAGAAATTTTTAATAACTTATTCCTTACACGTAATTATCAAAATTCTAATGTTGGATCTTATAAAACTTTAAATCACTCATTTAATTACAACAGTATTTTCTTATCACCGATCAACATAAATGATGTCAGTAAAATAGTTAAACAAATAAAACCGAAAAAATCTTTTGGCTACGATCATATATCAATGTATTTAATTAAACAATCTTTAAACCATAATTCAGAACCAATAATGTTCATCATAAATCTAATGTTAGAAACGGGTACATTTCCAAATGACTTAAAAATTGCTCTTATAAAGCCTGTTTACAAGAAAGGACCGAAGCAGACCCCAAATAATAAAGACCCATAGCACTACTACCAAACTTTTCCAAAATGTTTGAAAAAGTTATTTATAATAAAGTCATGAATTTTGTTAACGTAAATAAAATTTTAAATCCTAATCAATATGGATTTCTAAAAGATAAAAACATGTCATTAGCTATATTTAAAATAATGAAACATATTTGGAATGACAAAAACGAAAAAAATCCATGTTTTGCCCTTTTCTTAGATATGACAAAAGCATTTGATTGTGTTAATCATGAAATTTTATGGAAACATTTGAAAAACATTGGCATTCACGGAATTGGTCTAAAATTATTTAAATCGTACCTAGGAAGATCGATATCAGCCAACTATTTTGGATACGTATAATAGTAATACTACAACTATTGAAACGATTAAGTCAAAATTTAAAAAAGTCAACATTAGTGTACGTCAGGAAAGTATACTCGGTCCTTCTTTGTTTTTAATATACTAATAAATTAAACATGTGGTATCAACATGATGGGTGTCCTGCGCACTATCGTGTAACTGTGCGACGATGGCTGGACGAAAATAATCGACATCGATGGATTGGCAGAAGAGGACCAATTCCATGGCCAGCAAGGAGTCCTGACATAACACCGATGGATTATAATGTCTGGGGGCACATAAAGAGCATCGTGTACTGTGACAATGTACCAGTGCCGACCCTTGATCAACTGAGAGACCCCATTATTAACGCAACAAACGACATAAGACGAACATTAACCTCAAACGTTGTTAAAAGCGAATTAAGAAAACGAATGCGTGTCTGTATACGGAATAGGGGCTCCCATATTGAGCAAAATTTGTAAATCGTGTTAATTAATATTGGTTAAAAATAAAACACGAATCCCTTTGTCTGTTTAGAACTCGACTACCTGACCTCATTCTTTTAATTTTTTTTCTGTTTCTACATAAGCAAACTACAAAGTTGATATTTCATTAGGTAGCTAGATAAATAGGGATGTTTTTAACATGATTTGAAATTGATCACATACAATTATTTTTCACAAAATCATTTTTATTTTAATTACTTATCTTCTGTTTGGAAAAAGTTGTACTTTTAGTAGCGTTACTTCGAAAATGATGAGACTTTTTGCACACTGTGGTATTGATAAATAAGTATCCAAGTTTTCATTAAAAAAAATAAAATGAAAATAATACAGCTGTAAGTTTTTTTTAGAAATTTTTGAAAAAAATAATTATACCTAAATATCTCGAAATTGGTCCACATTTGCATAATGCATTTATGGTTCATTTGATAGGTTATGACCCCAACTATCACGCCTTGGCGGGAATACGTCGAGTTACCAGTAACCCTGTATATCAACGAGATATTTAAAATCACCAAGCATTTAACAATAATGTTTGCTGATGATGCTACAGTGTTTTATACTAGTAAGCTAATATATAATTCAGAATTTGAAAGTGAAATTAATAAGTCCATAAAGGACATAGTGTTCTGGTTAAAATCTGTAAACCTAACAATTAATGGAACTAAAACTAAAATTCTCCAATTTAGAAATTACAAGACCGAACCAATCCATTTAAAAATATCATTTGATGGCTCAGTCATAGAGGAAGTGGATAATATAAGTTTTCTTGGAGTTAAAACTCTCACCTAAATTGGAAATCAAACATAGAAAAGATTAACAAAAAAGATATCGAGTTATTGCTATGTTCTTTCAATACTTTCTTGGTCTACCTCTGAATCTGTTACTAGAAATGCGTACTATGGTTATATTTATCCATTGTTAATCTATGGTATAATTTTTTGGGGTAATTCAACAAACATAAATGAAACGTTTACACTACAGAAACGATGTTCACGCATCATATACCGTAAAACAAATAGCGACAGCCTGAGGAATTTATTTAAAGAAAAACGTTTTTTACTTTAACTGGAATAGATATCTTAGAGTTGTGCCTATATATTAGAAATAATTGCGATTTATTCGAAACGGCAAAATTTACGCCCCTGCTACGAAAACAATTTTTATATACCTCAAATTAAAAATAAATTGTTTGACAAAAATGTATAAATAACGGCAATTAAAGTATTTAATCACTTACCTAATAGTATTAAAATAACAAAAGGGCCCAAATTCAAATATAATCTAAAAAACTGGTTGGTGGAACATACGTTTTATATGCTAAATGAATTATATAATTTTAAGAGTTAATATCGTGTTCTTTATTATATTTATAACTAATATTTTATCTTAGAAGTTAATTGTAATAAATATTAATTGTAATTAATTTATTAAAAATTAATTGTAATTAATCTTTTAAATATAAATTGTAAATTGCAAAAAAATGTAAATTGCAAAAATGTAATCTGTTAAATGTAAATAGTGTATATATATGTATATATATATATATATTATGTTTATGAAAATTGTAAATCTATTGCATGCCTGATGAGGCAACTGTTGATACCTTTAATAATATGTATTCTTTAACTTGTACTCAGTAATGCAATAAATGAATTATTATTATTATTATTATTAAAAATACGATTATACGAAAACGAATTATATGAAAATTTGTTATTTAACAGAAAACTGGTGTCGAATACGAGGAGCAATTTATTACACTATATAACAAGAAAATGTAAACAGAAAAGACCAATTTTCGGTCAAGTTATGGATGAATTTGTGTTTTTATTTCTGTATTTACGGCTCGGTTTAGGTAAGTAGCGATTTTTCGAGTTCCGTGTGATTTATCTATCAAATTTGAGTATATATGGATGTTTCTCAAGATACGGACCTTATTGGCGTAAAAAGAGCAAGGGAATCGAAGATTTTGAAAAGTTTAAACATTCTAGGAAAATACGATTATAAGAAAACGAATTATATGAAAATTAGTTATATAACGGTGAAAATTTACAATGAAAACTATTG